ACATCGGCGGAGGTGAATATGCCGTCAAACAACGACCAATCAGCAGGCTTGGTACGAAGAACTTCATAGTCAGGCGCAGAAATATTTGACATGGCGAAGACATGTAACGTTCCGTCCGAGCGTGCTTTGAGGTGTCGAATAACCGATATGAGCTCTTCGTTGGACTGCAGAGAGTCGCGAGCATCTTGAAATGCACGAGCAACCTCTGTGGGGTCTACAGAGAATTCGCCACCAACCCTAGCATAACACTCAGCCTGGGACATCCTCCCCCTCTCGTAGTCATTCCATGTGAGAGATGATAGAATTTTACGTAAAACGTTTTGGGATATGGAGGTTTTGGTCTGGGGGGACCAAGAGAACAAAACGTCACCAATGTCGAAGATGAGAGTGGTGTAATTCGAGGCAAATGACATTAGGATCAGATAGGTGTTCGCAGGTAAAAATGGAAAACGGGGCACGATTGGAGCGTATATTCCGAGGTTCGGCTATTTGAATGCCTAGTGGCAGTCCAAGACCGAAGTGGTTAGCTTAGCTGTTGCGAGTCTGTGCCTAGCATTAGCAAACCTCTGCAGATTCACAATCTGAAGCAGAGATCTTACATACAGGTGTTGTTTCGGTCTGGCGTCTGGGACCGCGGGAGAGTCACGGCGTTTTACGTGCTATCACTATGTTGCGGGTTCAAATCGACGATTGATGTTGATGCCGCTGAATAATTGTCGAGCGGGGGACACGGAATGCTACTAGAAATATGGTTATGAGTTTCTAGAAGGAGCTTGTTGCCAGTGTACGAGTTATGTGCCTGATAGAAAACAACTTGGATATGACTACTGACTGTTGGCAAATCGTAAGAATAGGAAAGATAACGGTAAGCTCACATCTCAATTTCGAAGAGGAACCAAAATGCTGGTACGGATCTGCTCCGAGTGATAGCTTTATACGTGTTGGCGTAGAGACGAAATGAATACGCGTATCACGAAGGGAACATTGATTTCAATAGCCTTGGACGAGCACGAGCCGACGTCAAAACGTCGCTCGCTCATCTCCCTGGGCTTGCAATCGATCCTCTCGTCGTTCCTGGTTCGGATCCTTCGGACTCCAACCTCACAGACCACGACCTGTATCTACCATCGCATACGATAGGTCGGTGCTAGAAGAAGAAAATATGACGTAAATGGAAATGTCCAGTGAAAATACTTCCGGCCGATACAACTAAACAGGAAGTTTTGGTATGACGACTTGAACCTACTGATGCTACACTGAGCCAGGATCATGGAAAGTTCTTGTAATGAATCAGAATTTACCATAAACCATTTTAATCAAGTGGCTTGGTTGGTAGTCGAGTGTCCAAAGATTATGCATTTGGAGTCTCAGATCTGAGATAACTAAAAGGCATATGCTCATGGAGCATAACACTTTCAAACCAAGTTGCATTTGCTGATTAGTAGGGTAACCGATTTGACCTTCTTCAAGTATGTAAGTACTACATCGACTGAATTCCCCTCTGAGCATTGAAAGCTAACTTGAAACAGTTCAATTCTCCCGTTCGTTTGCGTTGTCCGCTACGGCAGATCAACACCGAAACTCACAGCCTTATTACCCTGCAACCCTGCTCTCACATCATCACTTTGATAATGCAATTCTTCCTATTCTGCAACAGCTCAAACGTTCACTTCCGGATTAGCGGATGGCTACTAAGCAAAGCTGACTTGAAGCACTGTTACTGTTCTTCTATTCGTTCTTGTTCGGTTCTTGTGTGATCCGGTCTACAGTCCAGGTGTTAGCCATAACCGGACCAAGAGACGGTCTACAAATATTAATATTGGCCGAATGGTCCTATGTCGGTCCGGACGTATCTCCAACCGTCCCGAACCTCGAACCGTTTTGATTTTTGACGACGGTCCACCTGTACGTATGCTTAATACTTATTGGAGACTCAATCAAAACAACTTGACGGAACAACCCGGGCCCAGCGGCAATCTTCGCCTTCCATGACGATGTTACTAACCTTTTCGAACTTCCAAGCACTTTGTCGGAGCGACATCCCTCGCCACCTAAACGTCGACTCGTTTTGCTGCCCAACTCCTCCAAGTCCATAACGATTCCATCCCCTCATACAGGTACCCTTGACCAGCTCGTCTTATAACTCCTTATCACTGGTCGGTCAACAACATTCCTAACCAGCCTCCGCGCAAATGGCCGGGGCAGTTGCCACCATTTCCGTACTCTGTACTTCCGGCCTGTAACTCCACACACCTATGATGGTATTTGATAACGACGTGACGCGTGTCAGCGCGCCTAAAATTTTTGGTGAACACTCAGCACACCAATCCATGTGAGTATTATATCTGTAGCAATGGCATTTTTGCAGCAGCTCGATAGCAACTGTGTAGAAGTTTGTTTCTTCGCTCACTGTTGTCCTACCAGTGCATGTGCACCGGATATCTGTGCTACCCCGGTGACCAACTTGCTTTACGCCTATCCGGGTTTGAACACCCAAAAACCGAGCCTGACCGTTCTGGACCGTTCGCGATGGTCCAATTCTGGGTTCAACTATTTTGTTGAACCGGACCGTGGTAGCACTACAACTTGAAACTCACAGCCTTATCACCTTGCAACCCGGTTCCGTCATCATTCCTAACTTTGATAATGCAATTCTTCCTATTCTGCACCGGATTAGCGATTGGCTGAGCAAAGCTAACTTGAAGCAGTTCTGTTCTTCTATTCGTTTTTGCTATCTGCAACTGACCAAACACCGAAACTCACGGCCTCAATTTTGCTCTATTCCTAACTTAATAATGCAATTCTTTCTGATAATTCTGAAACAGTTCATCTCCGGATTAGCCACTGGCTTGAATAGGCGAAGCTCAAGCCAGAGCGCCCAGCAGAATATCGTGGGGCAGACCATGTTCTTAGCACCCGCTGCAGGCACCCTCCTAGGATGAGGGTCTGTTAACTAGGGTAAGAGGAAAGCTAGGATGGCGGGGATGGCAGCGGTTTCGAAATTCTTGTCAGGAGACTACGGCTATCACAACCGCGCCGACTTTCTTGTTCTGTTTAGGGTTATGCTACTGATGCTATATACCTAGTGGGAGACTGGGAGTAAATATTCCGTCGCACGACTGCAACCGTGTCTGATGACCGGCCAGGTGCATATGATAACTGTGACCCACCGGCAGGGTAGTTTACGGTTGGAGATACCCAGTGGAAGAAGCCTCGGACTGGGCCTAACGGCCTTTAGCATATCGAGAGAGGGATTCTTTTTAGCCGTCTAACCAAAAGGAAATAATCTCTGTGCAGGACGATGCTGGATTCACAATAAATGATGTACGTGTCAAGACCACCATTACCGCTCACCAAGTAACCATTTTCAAATAAGGCTATTTGCTTGCAATTGCGCCCTAGTGACGCTTTGTACCTGCACAATCTCTTGCTCTGCTTCTACTCGCTCGTTAACACTGCCTTTCTAACTATGAGAGACGCCTCATCAAACATGCGTCGTCACGATGCGAAAATATCCAAACATCAATTTATTGACCCATGCACCTCACCACATTGTAGGAGATTAGTGTTGACCTTTGCCCGACATTATGCTGACGGTGTATGTATTTACAGCACATCAGATTCCGTACATACATGCGGTAGTTAGGCGGGAGTAAGCCCTCCGCGAAAAGGGCTTAGTATGTCCGATATACTAGTAGGGTCTTTGACCTAAGGACAATGAATTTTTTTATAAAATGCGGTCAGTTTCATTGTTGTCACAGAGATAATTGATATTGATACTATACAGATCACGATCGGTCATAGAGGATATATATATCTTATCGATCATCAAGATGAGATTGCATAGTAAAGATCGATCTCTAAATGCATAATAATCTTTGGATATTGCAAACCAAAGCTACAAGTGTCGCCACTTGATCAAGATGGTCTACTATATTATATTCACTTCGGGAACTTCCCATGGGCCATGATATTGGGTCTTCAAGCTATGCAAATGCCTGAGGTCGTGGTCTGTGTTGGAGCCGGAAGAATCCGAACCAGGAGCGATGAGAGGATCGATTGCAAGCCCGGGGGGGACAAGCGAGTGACGTTTTGACGTCGGCTCGTGCTCTTCCAAGGCTATTGAAATCGATATATTCCCTTCGATACTAGTACGCGTATTCACTTCGTCTTTACGCTAACACGTATAAAGCTACGACTCGGAGTAGATCCATACGGGCATTTCGGTTCCTTTTCGAGAAGTACTGAGATGTGAGCACTTGAGCTATCGTTATCTGTCCCGTTCTTACGATTTGCCAACAGTCAGGAGACATATTCAAGTTGTTTTCTACCAGGTGCATAACTCGTACAACAAGTTCCTCCCAGAAAACCGATGTATGTTTTTTTCTAGTACTAGCATTTTGTGTCCCCGCTCGATAATTGTTCAGCAGAGTCTGCTCATCAATTGACGATCAGAACGCGCAGCATAGTGATAGCACGTAAAACGCCGTGACTCTCCTGCGATCCCGGATACCAAAAAAATACCTGTATGTAAAATCTCCGCGTCGAATTGATGTATTTCGGAACAGTAACAAGGCACTTATCGCTGAGCACATCGAGAACCTAACACACTCACCGAGGTACCCCTTTTGGTCCGTTTTCGAACCGAAAAGGTATTTGGCATCTCCCTGCAGAGACGATGCTAGTCTATTTGTTCACCTGGCGTCTAATTTAGCATTTTCGGACGCTGAAGTGAGCTAACTCCAAAGCATATCCACAGGAACCTTTTGTGAGCGCTTTAGAATAAACTTTGTTTAAAGTCGCATTTGCTGATTAGGGGCATAGTATTCGACTTCACAAGGTTAATATTTTAATGCCCATATGTATACTAAGTCCAAATTTACTTATTCTTTTCGACACCCCCAGCATGTCAGGTAGAGAGTGTGATAATCGGCTCCCCATGCAGTTATAACTCATCAAGTTTGTTTTGCCTTTGGATCAATTCACACACCGTTCTCACCATGTTTCGTTCAGTTAATGGTCGCCATGCAATTGTTAACCTCGCTGTCTTGTCTGCTTCCTTCGTCGTTATCACATCCCTCAAGCAATTCATTAGGAACAGACAGAAGAAACTTCCCCCTGGCCCAGCGCCACTCCCACTGTTAGGAAACATCTTGTCTGTTGACAGCAAGGAGCCTTGGTTGACTTATGCCAAATGGGCTGCTACTTATGGTACGTGGTCGGAATCTAGATAGTACTACGATGCATACGTTGTACAAATCATTATATCAGGAGACTTGGTTTTCGTGCAACTTCTAGGCCAGGAAATTGCGGTGATCAGATCTCGGCACGTTGCAGAAGCCTTGATGGACAAGCGTTCTCGCATTTACCAACTATAGCCACAGTCGATCCGTGCGTTCTTCTAACAATCTTCCATTCAATCATTATGAAGTACAGGCAGGTTTGGTTGGTCGGTTATTTTGCATTCGCAGGCTATGGTGATGAATGGCGTCTTTCCCGACGACTCTTCCACCAAACTTTCCGTTCTAGCTCTGCACTCAAGTTTCGTCCAATGCAGATCGAGCGGGCTCGTGAGATGATCATCAACCTAATTGATGACCCTCAACATTATCATCCTCACTTCGCAACGTCAGTTGATGGGTTTGTAAACATCGAATGAGTATTAACCTGTTCATAGATTCTCATCATCAGTTGCGATATCAGTGACATAAGGCTGCCAAACTAGCCCTCATGATGATCCTCTGGTTCGAATCGTAGAAAATGCACTAGCTCTTGGCCTTCAGGTGGTAACCTCAGAGAGAGCGATCTTGCTCAAAAACTTTCCTTTCTGTGAGCTCATCTCTTTCTCATGAAAATAGCTGACATTCTGTATTCTGGTGCAGTACTGAAGTTACCTGACTGGTGTTGGGAATCCTCGCTCAAACGCGAGGTTCAAGCCTCGACTAATCACATGACTGAAATGGCAGAGGTGCCATTTCAATATACGCAGCAGCATATGGTGGGCATTGAAAATATTAGTTCTTTCCTAGCCATTGATTACATGATAGTCAAGGCCGAAAACTTGGTCTTTGGTCAGTTTTCGATGGTTGCAGAAAATCTTCAACGAATGGAGAAGCAAGATCAGACATCCAGACCATCGTTTGAGGGTGCCTTTGAAGAAAGCAGCTACTAGTGCTATTGTAGGTTTGTTATCTTTTACAAGGGATGATATACCGTTCTTTGATACATATCTATTCAGGTGCATACGAAACGTTAGCAGATGTCCGAACCGCACTGTCAACTGCTGAAGTTCTTTACAGACTACTTCAATCTTGATGGCTTTTGCTCTCGCCATGGTATCTTACCCATATGTTCAAGAACGTGCACAAGCGGAGATCGATTCAGTGATTGGGCGGGATCGCTTACCTACCTTCGAAGACAGAGCGTCACTACCATATGTTGAATCAGTTCTGCGGGAGACTTTGCGATGGCAGCCTGTCGTACTCCTCGATAATCTTCTTCACTGAAGGATCAAGCCTGCACTGAAGATGATATTATAGCGCCACGCGCCACCTCAAATGATGATATATGTGAGGGTCACTTCATTCCAAAAGGTCCGCCGTTTTCGTCTAATGAGCAAATCATCGGTAACATCATACATCAGGAGTAACTGTCATCTACAACATATGGTCAGACACATTCTCTCCAGGTTTTGAGATCATGCTGACGCTATATTGGCAGGAGCCTTTCACGGGATGAAAAATGGTACCCTGACGCATCTACGTTTATACCAGAGATTCATGAACGCCGATGGTGCGCTGGCGGACGATGACCCGGCTGATTATGTTTTGGCTTCGGCCGACGTAGATGTCCAGGTCGGCTGAGTTTTTTTTCATTGCCGTATTGCATGGCATGAGCTAATACATTTGTTTAACAGGCCGGTATGCTGCTGATGCCTCAGTGTGGTCGGCTATTGTTACCATGTTGGCCACAGTGGAATCTTCGCCCGTAAAGATGACCAGGGTAAAGTGATCGAATTCACCCTCCAATTTACGACGGGACTTATGCAGTACTTGTTTTTCTCGTGTCATTCCATGCCGTCACTAATATTTCACTGCTTTAGTTCCGTTACGGTCTTTGCCTGCAGCATTTTACCACGTTCTCATGTCCATCCAGGACTTGTGGATGCTTTACGAATTCTCCAGTCATAGTTCCAATGAATTAGTTTGTGATGTGGTCCCGAATACTGTCCAATCAAGCGATTTGTTCTGAAATATTGTTGAATTCACTCATCAGGCAGCAGATGTGCACTGGCGCTGTTCAAGAGCAAACGCGTTGGGTAAGGTGGTCACGAACGGCCTGCTAGGCTGCTCCTACCTGAGGGACGTACTATGGGTTACGGTTTATTCGTTACGGTCCGCTATTTCGTGAGTCACCCTCATGTCACGAATAGTAACGGACAATCACACTGGCCGAATTTACAGTCCGCTCGGCACATGCGATTCGTGAATTTCAACGATAATTGATTAGGACTCGGAGGCTACTGAGTAGTAAATATGTGAGCTACAGTATGTACGGAGAGCTAAATGCAAGTTATTAACGATGTGTAAAATTTTGCTGAGGGAATGTATGAAGATGTGCCAGTGGGTATTGATACATAGATGGATTGTGAACTTGAAGTTCGTGACTTTGTGCCAGATGTGGAGGTTGAGCGCACATGAAACGCACTATTAAATTTAATGTCCGACATCGGCAGCTACGGCAGGTGACACTGAATCGTGATTTTTGCTGCTGTCACGCTGAAAACACGATCTCTACCATTTCTCAACATATTTGTTTTATTTCACTTGGGATATGATAGTATAGTATATAGAACATACCCAGTGAAGTAGCTAAGCAATTACTTCACGATTGAGTGCTGTAGACAAAAATCGCGAAATAGTGGACCGTAACGAATAAACCGTAACCCATAGTACACCACAGAGATAGGGAATGAGGATGCGATAATGTAATGTGTAAACCCAACGAATCAAGCGTGAGGATGCCACTTCCACCAGGCAGCAGGAAGCCTTCGAAATACGTCGAGGAACAGCAAAAATGGTTGTATAATCAAAGCATGTGCGATGCATTTGAGGAAAGACCGAAAGAAAAATTGCACCCTTAGGAAAGTACAATCGGCAACGCAAATAGCTCGAGCGCTCGACGTTCAACGTCAATGCTCAACTTGATTTCTTTTGTAACAGTATTTTACGCAAGAGTAGCTATTGCCAAGATTAACCCCGCTGCGTGGCAATGGCGCGAAGATGCAACGTTTTGTGTGCAATGTGGTGATGTTATGCTACCGAGCACGGACTCAACTAGCTGATAGGATGCAAGGAGCACCAGTAAATTCCTCTCTATCTGGGAGTTGAACGTTAATGCACAAACAGACAACTTACTGCTGTTGCTTACCAACATCACCTGAACCAACTTAGTGCTTCTGCTGTGCCCCTGGCTGCGCTTTGGAGTAGAAATTATCAACAACCACATACGCAGTAAATGCTACTAGTGCGATGCCAAGCCCTGGAAACATGCTAGAAAACATGGCACGGTTCGTGAACACAGGATGTTTCCGCCACGCTTCCCTCTTCGCCCATGGGTCACGAAACAACGGTAGATTGGACATGACTGAACCGCAGATGAAGTTAACCATGGGCAAAATGTTATTGAATAATATGATCAACTATACTTACTTGGATGTAGAAACTAGGAAACCGCTTGTTTTCGGCTTGTTCAGCTGTGGTTCTGAGTCCAGGTGATCATGTGATTTTTAGGCTTAGGGCCGGTCCATCAAGACTTCGGAAAAATTAACAGCTGCCACAGCGCGGGAGAGGCCTTCCTGTCCTTCATTTCCACTGTTCTTCTTGCCTTCTTATTCTCTGTATTGCTGCATAGACATTTTGTCTACTATTCGTGTCAAATTATCGCTTCAAATAATGTCTAGCGATGCCTATATGTCTTCAGATGACGACCGACCACTTGGCGACTTCCAAAACGATGGCAAGGCCAACACAGGTAGAGGCGGCGCGAATGTATACGCTAAAGAGGAAGCTAGTGATTCTCCCATGAGCGAGGACGAAGACATGCCTTTAGTTCGTGTACCCCTGTCCGTGTACTGCGTGCATCAGTTGACCGTTTTGCGTAGTCCCAAGTTACGGTTCCAAAATCAGAACCTGTAACTCCAACAAAGTCTTTACGGCGCAAGAGAGCTGCTGCACTTGATTCGTCCAGTGAAGATGATGATACTCCTCTTGCTTCTTCTCCGGTGAAGCAATCTTCTACTATACCGATGCCGGGGACATCGAAAGCCTCTACAGTAAACGGGCATAAAGCAGTCAAAGCTGAGAGCGATAACAAACGTAGTTCTATCACTGCTAAGAAGCAACGTGCTCCCACCAAGAAAGGACCCCCACAGAAGAAGCTGAAACGCGAAGATCCTGACGCTTCCGAACCTCCCGCTTCTGAAGGCGAGGAACTCACACCTGTGAAGAAAGAGAAGGTATCGAGGAAACGAAAGTCCAAAGTCAAGGAAGAGACTGATGCGGATGTGGAGGACAATGGAAAATCTAAGCCCACGAAAAAGAGAGTTACTTCGAAGAAGGTCAAGGATGGAGCAGACGGGTCAACAACTCCCCAGCCCAAGAAGAAGGGCAAAGTTAAAGATGAAGGAGAAGACGAGGAGGAAGTTTATAGGTGGTGGGAGGCTCAGCAGAATAACGATGGTGAAGTAAAGTGGCAAACGCTAGAGCATAATGGTGTCATCTTTCCTCCACCATACGAACCCTTACCCTCGAATGTGAAAATGAGGTATAAGGGTACGTGGTTGCCTTATTCATTCCACCGTGACAAGTTTGTTGATTGCATTGTAGGTAAAGAAGTAGATCTACCATCAGAGTCCGAAGAAGTGGCTGGTTTTTATGCAGCTATGTTGGAAACTGAGCACGCTCAAGATGCCACGTTCAACAAAAACTTCTTCGACGACTGGTTGAAAGTGCTTCAGGACTATCCTCCTGTAAGTATCCTACTTCGTGTGCCTCTGCCTTGCTTAACTATGAACCAGCGCAATAAAATCAAGATCACAAAATTTGAGGATTGTGATTTTCGGCCCATGTTCGAACACTTTGAAGCGGAGAAGGCCAAAAAGAAGGCTCTCAGCACCGCAGAGAAGAAAGAGCTCAAGAAGCAGAAAGACCTATTCGAAGAGAAATATGTCACCTGTCTCCTTGACGGTCGCAAGGAAAAGGTTGGCAACTTCAGGGTTGAACCTCCTGGCCTGTTCAGGGGTCGGGGCGATCATCCAAAGAAGGGCGCGTTGAAGGTGGGCGCATAGCACTTGGATCTAGAACAAAACAAAAACTTGCTCACTCCATGGTAGTTCCGTGTACGCCCGGACGATATCACCATCAATATTGGTGAAAGAACGCTTATCCCTGTACCTAATATGCCTGGACAATGGAAAGCCATAGTCCATGACCAAACTGTCACCTGGCTAGCCAACTGGGTCGAGAATGTCAATGGCAATTACAAATACGTCTTCCTAGCTGCAGGCAGCTCTCTCAAAGGGCAGAGCGACATGCAAAAGTTCGAGAAAGCACGTGAATTGAAGGTGCAATCAACTGCTGACTCTGATGCTCCATTGACTGACATTCCTCCAGAACCACGTGGATCGTATTCGCAAAGATTACTCTGCTGATCTGCGCAGCAAGGTTATGGCAGACAGGCAGCGTGCAACGGCAATGTACTTCATTGATAAGCTTGCTCTCCGAGCTGGAAATGAAAAAGGTGAAGATGAAGCCGACACCGTGGGCTGCTGCTCTCTGCGGTGCGAACACGTCACGTTAGAAGCACCGGATTTCCTCATTTTTGATTTCCTGGGTAAGGATTCCATCCGGTACTACAACCGAGTCTCCGTGGATCCCCAGGTTTTCAAGAATATCAAGCTATTCAAGGACAACAAAGAGGATAGTGACAACCTCTTTGACCGCGTCAATGTGACACAACATCATTCAAAATATTGAAACATTCTGCTGACGGTTCTCTCCCAGACATCGCTCCTGAATAAGCATTTGGCATCGTATATGAAAGGACTGACTGCAAAGGTTTTTCGTACTTACAATGCATCCATCACGTTTCAACAGCAGTTGGACGAAGGAACGCCAGCGGATGCCACTATCCAGGAGAAGCTGAATGCATATAATCATGCAAATCGTATGGTGGCCATCCTTTGTAACCATCAACGTAGCGCACCGAAGACTCACGAACAATCGATGGGCAAGATGCGTGATAGGGTTCGTTTGTTCCCTATGATGCGATCTGTGACTGACAGCGCCGATAGCTCCGTTCCTTGAAGTATGATCGGATGAAGCTTCGTCATGTTCTCTTCAATATGGATCCCAGATTCAAGAAGCAGAAGCAGTACGCCGATGATGAATCCGATTTAGATGACGACTGGATAGAGGACCACGAAAAGTCCCTTAAGAATAAGGAAATAGAGAAGGCGGAGAAGAAATTTGCCAAGGATAACGAGAAGCTTGTTCAGGAGGGCAGTAAACCTCAACCTGACTCAGTCCTGCAGGAGAAGATTGAGGCCGCTGAAGCCGAATACAAGAGGGTTGCAGATGAACGCGGTACAGGGAAAGCCAAACTTAAGAGGGATCGTGCTCCCGAGAAGATTGAGGAAGCTGTCCAGAAGTTAAACGAGAAGATAAAGACCTTCAAGCTTCAGATGGACGATCGGGAGGCCGGCAAAGAGGTCGCTCTTGGTACAAGGTATGTCGTGCTCACACTCAAGTAATACGTTCTCACTGTGTCTCCTCTAGTAAAATTAATTACCTGGACCCTCGGTGAGTTTCAAGCTCTATCATCCATCATTGACAGCGACTCATTTTGTCATCTAGGATAACAGCTGCATGGTGCAGTGCCCACAACGTTCCGATCGAAAAGATCTTCTCAAAGACACTTCTCGCCAAATGTGAGCTCGCGTGGAAGGTATTTCATAGTAACTTATACTAACGCTGATCTCAGTTCCCTGGGCCATGGAAGTCAACGATGCCTGGAAATTCTAGTCCATGTTTTGTGGCTAGACTTCAGTGTATTCGGGCTTTACGAAGGGTTTTTAGACTGCTATCATTATTCCCTAGAGATTCGATCTAGGTTTAACCCTGCCCCCCTGCTTCTGGGAGGTTCATCATGTACATACCATAATAATTGCATTCATAGAAGAAATGTGTCATAGCGATGTTTGGTTCAGCGTGACGCATTGTGGCACGTGTTGCATTTGAACTTGAAGTGAGCAGAATTTAAACTGCACCAAAACTGCACGCATCAAACCTTAACTGCTACCTTGTCTGCTACCATGAGTAGGTCCTCTAGCATAACAGCGAACCCGCCATTTGTTTCTAGATCTGCCTTCGACGCTCTCACCGTCGAGGACGTTGAAGACTCCGAGGACGAACAGCAACAGGAAGAAACGCCGCAGACACAGGTGACTAGGTTCGTCTTCGCTGACGTTCGTGACCTCGCGCTTACGTAGCTTGCTCATTGGGCTATCTAGCACCGAGCATACGAAGCCGTCGAAATCTCAAATAAAGAAGGCTCAAAAACAAGCTCGCACCGAAAGGCGAAAACAACTCAAAGCCTCCTCAAAAGCAGGTACCGCAAATAGTTCACCTAGACATACACCCTCTCTGGAAGAGTCCATTGCGCGTATGGCCGATGGAGCGGCAGATGTTTATCCTCTACCTACAACACATACCGCTCCCGAGCCAAAACCCACCGCAGAGCCACCACAAGAGCCAGCGCCCGAGCCGGAGCCGGAGCCGGAGGTATCGGAGTCATCACTTCCGGGACCTGTTATTAACGGCGATATACAACACGTGAATGTCACGGAAAGTATGCATCTTAACCTCTGTCTAGTGTTTTATAAGTGGAATTGACGCAATACTCAGACAACTCTACACTGCATCTACCGAGCAAGTTGCTAGGTGGTGAAGGACAGTCTGTCTCACAACCTGACGTCGAACAGGCACTCAAAAGTAAACTTGATCCGCAAGAAGTCGAACGCACGAAGACACGACAAAGCATCTTAACGCGAACACTATGGACGTTCATTATGATCGGAGTTTTCGTTGGTATGCATTCTTCTACTTCAAATAGAAGGTTATGTTCGTATCTGACCATTGTGTAGCTTTGTTGCTCATGGGTCATGTTTATATGATCATGCTTGCCATGCTGTGTCAAACGATTGTCTACCGCGAAGTCACTGCTCTATTCTCACTCACAAGCCATGCTCCGGATTCTGGCGAGGCCGAAAATAAGAGAAAGAAAGATCCATGGAGCAAGACTCTAAATTGGTACTTCTTTGCCGTCACTAACTATTTTCTATACGGGGAGAGTATCATCTACTACTTCAAGGTGCGGGATAATTTTGGTTGTAATTACTATACTGAATTGAGGATCAGCATGTCATATTCTCGGACGGTCAACTACTTCCTTTCGCTACCAATCACAGAATTATCAGCTTTACGCTCTATACCATCGGCTTCGTTGGTTTCGTGATGTCTCTCAGACGTGGATTCCTCAAGCAACAATTTGGCCTCTTTTGCTGGGTTCACATGAGTCTGTTGCTGATCGTTGTCTCTGGGTATGGGTCTCGTCCGCTTTCAGACTCTAACCTAAAGGGAATCTTGCAGTCACTTCATCGTTAACAATATCCTCGAGGGTATGATATGGTTCTGGGTTCCCGCCTCGTTGGTCATTTGCAATGATATCTTTGC